ACCCCGTTGTTCCCCGTCCTTCCCGGGAGAAGGGGAGGCTTCTCCCCTGTGCCGGGTTTGGAGCCCTGGCGGAGGAGTCGGTGAGGAGGACGTGCCCCGAACTCAAGCCGCCCTGCGTGGCGGGGTCCCCCTCGGAGCGTCGCCGGCTGCCACTTCCGGGCGCCCCGTCCCGTAGCTGTCGGCTAGGGGAGGCGGTTTAATCGACCTCCCTCGAAACTGGGACCAGCCCCGGACCGGAGGGAGGGGGGAAGTAGCTTGGAAGCAGCAGCGGCAGCAGGGCGGATCGCCAGCGGGTGCTCAGCCACCGCCGGCCAGCTGCCCTGCCTGACCCTTTCCCTCTCCCCCTCCCTCCCAGCAGGGCACCCTGGCTGGAATCTGGGTGAACGAACTGGGCTCCAAGATGGTCCTGGAACCGCCCAATGCCAAGGGCGAGTTCTCTGGCTCCTACCTGACTGCCGTCTCTGCCGCCCAAAAGCCCATCTTGAAATCGCCCCTGGTTGGGGTCCAGCATGACCCCTCGAAGGAGGACCAGCCCACCTTCGGGTTCACTGTCAACTGGGCCTTCTCAGGTGAGCAGCGCTGACGGGGAGAAGGTGGGGGGCTGAGCCAGGGCTGCCCTCCACCCTCCCTGGGGCTGGGACCTCACCTGACCCCCAAGCCCCTTGCATAAGATCCTCCAGCCCCAGAAGTCCCAAAGAGGGGCGCTGCTGGCAGCCAAGGGCGGATGGCGCTTTGCCTACTCTCTTGGCAGCTGCCCGGGTCTTCTGGCCCCTTCCCAAGATCTCTGCTTCCTGTCCTCCTGGCAGATTCCACAACTGTCTTTGTGGGGCAGAGGTTTGTGGACAGCAAGGGCGAGGAGACCCTGGAGACGATGTGGCTCCTGCGCGAGGAGATGGACTCTGCTGGAGACAATTGGAAAGCTACCAGGTGCAGTAGGGGCAGGCCCCCAGGCTGCAAGGAATGGGGGGCACTGCCTGGGCCGGGCCGCTGGTTGGCTTGGTCCGCCTCCTCCTTTGGAATCCGGAGGTGGCCTGTTTCCATTTGCCTGCGCTGGCTGCCCTTCTCATCATCGCCAGAGCCCCCTCTCTCACGCAGACCGGGTGGGGTCGCAGGAGGGGCCCCTTGGAAGACAGAGCGTGAAGGCCCGGGCGGCTCCGGACCCCGTGGCTGACCCCTGCAGGCCCGGCTGCCCTCTCCTTGACTGCTCTGCCTGTCTTTGCAGGGTTGGCACAAACGTCTTCAGGCGAGAATAATGGCCAGGCTGGCCTGCCGTGTTTCCTCCTGGTGCTGGGCTGGTGTTGCCACGAGTCTCTGCTGCTGCCTGCTTCCCATCTTGGAAAGAAAAAGCACTTCACTTGTTTCTCCTCCTCCTCCCCAGTCTCAGCTCTTGTGGGTCAGCCTGTCTAAGGGGGGTTTCTCCCCTTGTCCCAGGGGTTTGGTGAGCTGTAATGCCCTTCGCCAGCAGACCAGCCCATGTCCTCATGAGTCCTCCCAGGCCACCCTGGCAGAAAAGGGATGACCCAGCCTCCTTCCATGCTGAGAAAACTGCGACTCAGCTCCGAAAATCAGAGCCATCGGCCCAATGCCTGTTGGCCAGGAGAGACCGTCTATCGCACCCCTCCCCCCTGGTGGGGGGGCCAGGGCCATTCAGCTTTGGGGAGTGGAAGGCTCCCATTCTCTCCCCTCTGCACCAGGTCTGCAAGCCGGTCCCGTTCCAGTTTGGAGGCCTGGATGAGCCTGGACAGCAGCGGCCTAGCGGTGAGGACCGGGGGTGGGGGGAGGAGGAGAGGCTGTTGGTCAGTGATGGAGAAAGGAAGTGGGATAGCATCAAACCAAAGTCCTGTCAGCTGATAGGCTCCTTTTGAATGCACCTGCATAACACGCTTGCACCAAACCGTGAATTGCAGCACATGGCTAAATCCATTTTCTGGCCATCTATCAAGCCCCCCACCCCCCCACAGCTCCATCCCAGGGTAAAGAGAATGGTGGCTGCTGATGTTTAGTGGGAGGGAAGGGAAGGGAAAGGAAGGGAAGCCAATCTCTGTCCTTAACTGGCCTCATATCCAGGGAGTAAGGACCACCCCATCTGCTGACCTCATCTGTGCTGGCAGGGTAGGGGAGAGCAACAGCGGCAGCACGCTTTAGAGCCTCCTGTGGGTCTGGGAGGGGTGGAGAGCCCTTGGGGGAACAATCCTTCCATCTCAGCCAGCGGCCGGACACGGCGCAAGGGGTGCGGATGCTCTTCCATGGCTTGCCAGTGAACTGTAATCTTTCCTAAGGCAGGAGGAGAAAGCTTTTACATTCATGGGGAAGGATCGAATTCACTGCTTGGGGTAAATTCAATTTTCATCACATGTAATGTTGAAATATATTGTGCTTCACCTATAATAAAAGAAAACAATAATCAGGTATGATAGTAAACAATAATACAAACAAAATAAACCAGAAAATAACTGAAGCCTAGGAAAAAAAGCAAAAAAAAAGATCTACAATCACGGGTCCCAATGATTACTGCCCGGCAGCACTCGCCCCCATCGTGATGAAATGTTTTGAGAGGCTGATGAAGGACCACGTTGTTTCCGGACTCCCTCCTTCGTTTGATCCACTTCAGTTTGCTTTTCGGCAGGATCGCTCTGTGGAGGATGCCATCTCCTCTGTTCTTCCCACGAGCCTGGTACATCTTGAGGAGAAGAAGAGTTACGTGCGATTGCTGTTTGTAGATTTCAGCTCAGCATTCAGTGCAATTGTTCCCCAGCATTTGGTGGACAAACTGGGTTCACTGGGTTTCAGTACTCCCTTGTGCAACTGGCTACTCGACTTCCTTACTGAGAGGTCTCAGTCGGTGCGAGTGGGAAACAATATCTCTCGCTCGATCTCTCTGAGCGTCGGCTCCCCGCAGGGCTGCATCCTGAGCCCATTGTTGTTCACCCTGATGACCCATGACTGTTGTGCCAGGTTCACCACCAATTCGGTTGTGAAATATGCGGGTGATACAACGGTGGTGGGCCTTATCAGGGATGACAATGAGTGGGCTTACGGGGGAGGCGAAGGGCTTGGTGGAGTGCTGTAATAAAAACAGCCTGGTTCTAAATGGAAAAAACTAAGGAGATTATTATAGATTTTAGGAAGAACCGGTGTAGTCACACTCCACTTTTCATAAATGACATGGCTGTGGAGTCAGCAGTGTTAGATTTCTAGGGGTGCAGCTTGTTGGAATAAAATGCTTGCTTATCAGAAACTTGATTCAGGCTTCTGCAGTGTGGACAGGCCAGTGGCCGGCACACGAACCAGAAACCTAGGATGAGGGAAGGTACCAGATAATAAAAGCACCTAAAAGCAC